ATTGACATTTACAATAAGTTTTAGACGAAAAATAAGGATATTATAAATTTATCAATGTTATTGTGGCTTGTTAACATTTTATTTTTAATATTTTTATTGAGCTTTGTACCACGATTGTTTATTAGGAAAAACTGAAAAAGCAACAAAGTCTTAGCGGTAGAAGTTATAGCACTATTTCGGAGATCACCACATCTCCTCATCAGACTTCTTTTTCTAGACTTCAGCAGGGATCGAACCTGCGAATTCGATGTTCAAAGTCAGAAGCGTTAACCACTGAGCTATGTACATCCCGTTGACATATACATAGTTTAGGAAGAGCCTGCCTGAAACTATACAAAAAAGCAAATAAGCAAATGGATGTAAAGAATTGACAACAACAACCACGCTGTCGAGTTTAAATAGCGGCAAATCAGCTGCACTTGATAGTAGTTGGTTTAATAAGGAAAATGAATTAGCAACAAGAGTTTACGGGATGTCAGTGGTACGGGGCTCAGTGGTTAACGCTTCTGACTTTGAACATCGAATTCGCAGGTTCGATCCCTGCTGAAGTCTAGAAAAAGAAGTCTGATGAGGAGATGTGGTGATCTCCGAAATAGTGCTATAACTTCTACCGCTTAGACTTTGTTGCTTTTTCAATTTTTCCTAATAAACAATCGTGGTACAAAGCTCGATAAAAATATTAAAAATAAAATGTTAACAAGCCACAATAACATTGACAAATTTATAATATTCTTATTTTTCGTCTAAAACTTATTGTAAATGTCAATTTTGAGTGAATTATCTTCAGTAGTTACTAAAATATCGCAGTTTTCGTATTTCTGGAAATTACCGTTATATGGGAAGTGGGCGTGGTTAAAGGCGATTTCGCCCATTTTCAATACCAACCAACCTTGGATTAAGGGAAACCTACATACCAAATTTCGTTGAGATATCTCAATTTTTGCTCGAGTTATCGTGTACACGGACGGACGGACGGACGGACAGACGGACAGACGGACAGACAGACATGGCTTAATCGATTTCTTTTTTCATCCTGATCATTTATGTATACATTTGTCTATATCTATCTCAATTCGTTTTGGCTGTTACAAACAACCGTTATGTGAACAAAATTAATATACCCTTGTGCACAAGTGCGCTCGGGTATAAAAAAGATACTGGCATCTTGGAAGCAGAGCTTGCTTAATTTAAGGAGGCAAAAGGAAACTCGACATTAAAGTGTAGTAGTCATAGCAGTCACCAGATCTGCCTTAGCTGACCAGCCCTAAAAAGGTAGAGAAAATATAATCACACCACTCACAAATTTTGTACCCAAATTTATGTAAATAAAACCCAACACTATTTTCGAACAAAAAATATTACTTAGTTACTTAAAAAAAAAATTAATCGAAAAATTACTCTTATGGCGCTTTCTTTTCTATTGAAAAATTCTTTATTGCCATCTTCGCACCGATAGTCAGGTGAGGGCCTTAAAAAGGCTAACTTGTTTATTTGTTTAAAAGGGTGAGTATTACATTCAACAATATTCAACAGTTTTATTGAGCTTAAGACCGTATGTCATGAAAAATTATTGCGGAAAAACAACAATAGCTAACAAATGGTAAAAGTTAAAGTAACGCGGTTTCGTACTTCTCCTATGCTCATCAAATCTCAGCGGAATATGAGTGTTAAGAAAGTTGACACGAAATTCAAATATGATTTTTTTTTAGGAATAAGGTAAAATTCGTGAAAAACTCTTTCAGTCGTCCTTCTCGGTTCACGGTTACATAGGCTTTACTCACTCGGCCGTTGACTCACAAACAAGGACCTTTTCAATAAGCTGTTTGAGGATAGGCTGAGTACGCCGATTAGGAATGGATGAATGAATCGATTGCCTCGGCAAAACACTGACAGATGCCTACAACCAGACTTTTCGCCTACGGGAGGCCAAGAGAAGAGCAAAGCCTCTTGGAAAAACCTCGAATTTGGCCCCCTCAAGAAAGCCTTAGCAAAACTTTTTTAAACTATGAACATGTGATGACTGCCTGGAGGGCAAAGGCCATTATATGAAGTTCCTCTAAAGCTATAAATACATATGCAACAGCTATGCATAAATAAAAGAGACAGCAATGCTGTTCAGAGAACGACCCAGATTAAATTATGTCTGGCCAAGGACTGGCTGGAGTGAAAAAACTCTTTGGGCAATATTTATTATGTAACAAAAACCACGACAACATCGCAAATTACGCTTGCCTTTATTGGATCCCGGGACACACTTGCATTATGGACATCGAGGTGGCCAACAGACTTTCCAAAGAGAGAGCTCCTTCGGGAACTTTACACAATAGATGATGTAGCAATTTCATGCAATAAATCACTGAAAGCTCGCTTTAAATGATGCTTCAAATATATTTTCTTATAATTTTTTAAATAATTTCTTGAAATATTTGTTTGAATTAAAAAATCACTTTTTTAGTTTCTTTAAAGAATATGGTAGCTTCAATAAAAAAACAAAAATCTCAAAAGCGCAGTTTATGTCAAATGCGAGCAATGCCGAATAAGACGAAGAAGTGAAACTACTTTTAAATATTTGTATTATGGGAAAAACCTTGAATTTTTGATTAAAGAAAACAAAAACAAAATCATTCAAGCTGTTTTCGATAATTTTGATAATAAAAAAATTTGTTACTTTTTTAAAGATTTTGACTTAAAACGCTAAGGTTTTGTGGAATTTGTACAAAATTTGTACATGATAATATTTGTTTTACTATAAAAAACTTATATTCTGAAAATGAAAGTTACATATATCTGCAAAATCTAAGTTTCTAGAGTACTTTAAAGGCTCGAAAGTGACCCCAAAATAAGCCAATATTTATCGTTGTATCTACGATAGAAACCGTACTGATACTCTAGACCAGTGCTCGTCAAACTTTTGAGTGTGACGGACCGGCTGCAGTTTTTCTATTACGTCGGGGACCGGTACCTTTTTTATTGATTATTTTTCGTTTACGATCATCTCATATATGTATTAAAATTTGTTTAAATGAATTTCTTTATTAGCCGGGTGTCCTATTACCATTTAATGATAGCAGATATTAGCGATTTTTTATGAATGTTTAACAAATTTAAGTTGTTTTTATTATACAAGTTGTATATAGCCTCATTAAACAGTAATATAAAACATCACAAATGTAATAACTGTAGAGTTATAATAATAAGACATATTATAAGCACGCCAAGTTTTATTAAAATTATATTAATGCTATTGGAAGGTGTCATTCCTTGTAAAGTTACGAAAGTCGATGTTTACTAATGCGAGAGGTGAGCCTGTTTATTATTTACAAGCTTATCAAGTCGTGGCTCAATTGTGGACAGTGCGACACGCAATGGAGAACTAATATTTAAACTGTTCCTGTACTTTGTCTTAATAATACTCATGGTTGAAAACCCAGTCTCACAAAGGTAAGATGAAGGAAATGGGAGTAGAGCTTTCAGAGCAATTTCAGCAAGTTCCGGGTATTCTGCTTTGACATGAATCCAAAATGACGCAAGTGATGTCATAGTTTCGAAAACCATCTTCAATCCTTTTGCGGACCGGCGACTTATGGCTTACGGACCGGCACCGGTCCGCGGACCACCACTTTGACGAGCACTGCTCTAGACAATAAATATGCCGATAGGCTTGGAATTTTACCTTTGAAATCGCTTCATTAAATCTCGTGCAGTAAGCGTTTTTGTGAAGCTCTAAAAATTACAAGTACAACATTTGAGCATGACATCCATACCGTAACGTAAGACGACTTCTACGTCAAAAAACATCTGTTAACAAGCTAAGCAGAATGCAGCTTAAAATAATTTATAACTTTAGGGTATTTAATAGATCTAATTTTTGCTTTACTACTAATCCAAATGCGAGTAACTTTTAACCTATTATATTTAAGACAATTGTCTTTTAGATACCAAATTTTAATAGTTTTATTCCATTTTTGGCTTTGATTTCTGACTAACTTTAAGCGTGCTTCAAATGTGAAATATGTATAACAAAAGTCTAACTGGTTTTCCTGAATTTAAAAATTAAGTACCGGGCTTTTTCAAATAGCCTTTTTTCGAATAACTGGAAACCCAACTTTCGAAAAATGTGGAAAAAAATGCAGTATTTACCAATGATTTTGGCCTTTTACTATTCATCTTCATATGTATGCGGCATGTATTGCTTTCTAGCGAGAAGCCTAAATGTATGTTACAGTTTGTAACTGCATGCCTTGAATTGATATGAAAAGTGATATGCATGTACCCAATCCCAATTTTTTTACAAATTGATGAAATCGATCCAAAGTTTGTATTTTCACAGTAGAACTTTTAGTTCTAAGTAGTCTAGTCCAGTTTGAATCCTGAATGAAAGACTTATTGTCAATTAAATGTAATAGAATTGTCAAGGAATTATACATACTTCAATTTTATTGCATGCGATATGGTAAATTTTATTCGCCACAAAAGTAAATAAGAGGGGAGGTCCGGAAAATTGTCAACTCTTTCAGCATAGAGTTAATATTACATGCTTAGGTTTACATGATGCATACTTTAAGGCACTAGTTAATCGTTTAGTTCCCTAGCGAGATAATTTAGTGTAGCGAGTTCCAAAGCAATAGTGAAGAGCTCACCCACAATTTTAAAAATTCATTGTCGTTTTGAAACAAGATTATCGTCCAAGCAAATAACAAGTATTCCCGAAATATATTTACAACAACTATTTTCTAATTGAAAGTACTCAGTTAACATATAAGTCGAACTATTTATTATAAATTTAGTTCGTCTGGAGGGCAGGTGTGGACTTGCACTGGCAAAGGACGAAAACTCGCCACCATTGCTTTCAGCGCACCTAAATTAACTTGGCCGTGACATGACAATTATTCGCAGCATTTTGAAGACAGCCATACAATTTTAGTACTAGGTAGTTAGAAAATATCAAAAAAAAAAACAAAGTAGCCTTAAGTAAAAGATAGTTTTTATTGTTCACTCACCTATTTGTGGCACATCGTACTGCCGCTGCCCTCGCGCTGTGCGCAACATCAGCTGACTCGCTATGGACGAGTAACCGTTATTCGCCGCCGCAGCAGCAGCTGCGGACATACTATTGCCCGCACCACCGCCGCCGACGCCCAGGCCGCCGGAACGTTTATGATTGGGATGCAAGAAAGACTCCTGCTTTTGTAATGGCGTTTGCTGTTGCTTATGTAGCTGTTGCTGTTGCTGTTGTGTCTGTTGTTGTGCTTTCAATTTCGCAGCAGCTTTAGCGAAAGCGGTCGTTGAGCTAGCGCTATCATCAATGTTTCCCTTGCCAACCTGCTGCTGCATTGGCGTTTGCTTTAGTTCTTGTTGTTGCTGCTGCTCACTTTTGATTGTCGCGCCACTGTCGGCGGACAACAGTGTTGAAGAGGAACTTTTTTTGCTGCGGTGCCATTGCGATGAGAGCGCTTGGCAATTTGTTATCGTTGCTGTTGTTCGGCTGAATATGCTTGCTGGCGGTGGCTTCCGAATTGGCAAACGCGAAATTATTGTGTCTTTCAGTGTTCGAGCCAAAATGATGCAACTGCTGCCGCTGTTGGCCGAAAATATTGCGCTGCCACTGTTGCAACTGGCGCTGTTGTTGTTGTTGCTGTGAGCGTTTACGTTGCCACTTCTGCTGCAGATGTGTATTGAAGTTTTCAGCACCGCCGGCGCTACCACCAGCATAGGCGCCACTGCGATGCTTAATCCCGCCGCCAAATGCGTGTTGTTGCTGCTGTGGCGGATAATGTTTTTGATGCTGCTGTTGTTGTTCATGTGCCTGCTGCTGCACTTGCTGCGCGCGCTGCTCTTTCAAGCCACCGCCACCACCATGCTGTTCCTTTTCGAATATTTCCTGCAAGGTGTGCGGTGCGCTTTCCTCGAGTTCCTCGAGCGTGCGGTATGGATTCAACAGTAGCGGCAAACCATCGTTCAAGTGATGTGGCCTAGTATTGCCGCCGGCAACGGCATGAGCTGGCGAGTCATCACTCCACATGCTGCGATGTTCGGGCGGCAACAACTCATCTAAGTACTGGTAGCTGTCCAAATCGGTGAGCATTTCATCCAGCTCTGGTTCAGCCTCGATCAGCACATCCAAGTCGTCACCACGCTGCGGCTGGCCGTATTCCTCGCGGTCGGAAGGTTGCACGATGTGCCCATACTCATACTTCTCAGGGCGCGTGTGCGCGCCGTATTCGCCCTCCTCGTCTATATACTCATCCTCAATGGCTGACGGCTGTTTCACGACACTACCATACATAGGACCGCGGGCCTGTTGCAACAGCAATGACGGATAATCGCTCTCCACCTCCTCGACAGGGCTCATTTGTATGCGACCGGTGATGATGGGACGTCCGTGATGGCCAGTGCCCGCGTTGGCCGCAGCGGTCTGTTTCGCCAGACCGAGCAACATAAGCCGTTCGCGCTCCAGCTGCGCCATATCGGCCAGCTCCTGGGACAAACGGCCAGCGCTATCTAACTGACCCACCATGGATTTGCTGAAGGTATGCGCAAGACTGCCGCTGCCAACGCCACCACCACTACTACCGCTACCACTGCCGCCGGCATGCAAATGTTGCGCGTGCTGCGTTGCGGAGAGTATATTGAGCATTTGATTGCTATTCGCGGCGGTATTGTGTTGCGTGCCGCCGACGCCGACGCCAATATTCGTTGGCGTATTAACGCCACTACCAATGCCTATGCTACTGACACCGCCCGCACCAGGACTGCTGCCGCCGCCACCAGGGCCATTCAAACGCAATGCGTAAATGCCACCCTGTATGATCAGCACGCAGGCGAAGGTACGTAGAATGGAGCAGAGCATTTTCTTTTTGTTGAGGCGGCGTAAACGATCTATTAGACGTGCTATGTTTGGGGATTTTTCGTTACTACTTGGCTGGGTGTGAAACGAATTGTTGAGAGGCGAGAATTGCTTGTCGGACGCCGAAAGGGTCGGTCAGGAGTTCAAGTGACTTTTGTGGGAACGCAAATAAAGCGTAGGCTCTTTTTTTGGCTTTTGGATGCTGGGTCTCGGATATGCTGTTTAAGTCTAAGCAACAATTCGCTTGAACACAAAAGTCTTCATTCTCTCACAGTCTCTTAGTAAGTTGTTTGCGTTACGAGGTTAACGTTACAAGCTGCGTACTATGCCCAAGCTATTATTGAGGCCGTACTGCCCCTTAACGGAACTGGAATGCTGGAAGATGCGTTGCTCAATTTTCACCAAGCAACTTTTCGTTTTATCGCCGCGTGAATTTCTTGGCAACGTCAACGGCTATTCCCAACTTTTTCCGTTGTCTTCACAAGTTGTTGATTGCTGCCTTATGGCGGCTAGCGCTTTCGCCTGCGGGAGCGCTTGTTTGTTGGCTGAAGTTTTTCACGTAATCGCAATTTTTCGCCGGAACGTTTTGATGCCTCGCCAAAAAGTACGTTTCCGCTGTTTTTTTTTTGTTGTCCTTTAGATTCGCTGTAAGTCTCGTTGGCTGTTGATTTCTTTGTGTGCTTTCAATGGCTTTTCGTGGGTTTTATGTTCAGCTGTTTCCGTTTGCTGTTCGTGCTAGTTGGTTTCTTATGTTTAGTCGCTTTTTTTTGCTTTGGTTTTGTTATTTTTTCATTACTTTCCTGCACCGAACACACACTTTTTTCGCCACTGTATTTTATATGTTGTTTTCTCCTTTCATCGGTGTGCTTGGCTGGCAATGTACGATAGTTAAATACGCCGTTGAAATGGCAATTTCACAGACTTCGATTGCCGTCGTAAGCGCTGTGTGGCGCGCCAGTCGAGCGTTCAGTCGTTGTTACTGTAATCCAAGCGATTACAATAATATTTTAGTTGCTTGTTTGTTTATTTTTCCTTTGTTTATTTGTTGTTTGGTTGAGCCCGTTTCGAGGCGCTCTACTACACTGGCTTCTTGCTAACCCCGGTCGGTCGTTGGTTGGCCGTTGGTCGGTATGCCGCCCTTAGTTTGCCGCGGGTTTCATTACCAACACCGGCAACTGCGTCGTAACGCTCGTTCGTTCGTTTGTGGCCGATAATGGCTCACTACACAGCACACGCCTGCTCACTTGGCTCGCACAGCTTTAGACTTCAGTCTTCCGTTTGTCAGTTACGCTGTCGTCTGGTTGTGTTTCCTTTTTCTATTACTAAATTTTTTTGTTTTCTACTTTATCTATGTATATATACGCTTGCTATAGTCTTTTCTTGTTGCTCTTGTTGTCTTCTTCTTTTTGAGCGCGCCAATCTTGTTATATGTCAGTGGAGACAAAATCGATAATCGATGCGCTGTTCCCGCAACTCTACTTTAGCTGTTACGTTTGCGTGTCTGCGATTCTTGCAATTGTCTGGAGTGAGTCGAGTAAGCTACTATGATTTGCGTCGTCCGTTCGTGTAGATTTACGGTTGTGTGTTGAATCTTTGGAGGAACTGTGTGTACAAGTTTCTAATAGCACCGACCGCAATCTAAATTGGTTGAGGCTTGACCACTTGCGTAGATTGTAGTTGTGTGCCTTGTGAGATATTCTGCAGAAGCTTCTTAGTTAATTTTTTTTATTATATTTTGACATTACTTTGAGGAACTATTCAGCCTTATAAAAGCCCTTGTGGTCAGTTTGCGGCATATATTTCCCAGTGCGCGCTACAATCTTTAATGAATTCTAAGTTTACCAAACTGTCTTTAAATTTTGCTCTCACTCTTCGCACTCTCTACTTTAGTCACCGTCCAGTTTAAGCTATCTGTTTAATTGCGTTTTCCTGTCGACAACAGTCACTCAGTTTTCGTTGGCTTTGCTCTCTCGCATGTGGCACGCACTTCCACGCACGTCGTCCGGGCTTCAATTTTAAGCCGCTTACTTACTTATTTACTTTCAGCACAACATGTGCGTATAGCTCATTTGTTCCACACGCAACTGTTGATTGTTTGTTTGCGTCGCACTGTACAAACCTACTCGGTGATGCCTTTTTATTAGGTTTTCTCTGTTTTTATTTGGTTTTTTGTTTTTGGTGAGAAGAGTCACGTCGCTTAGCAGCTTATTGACGACTTTTGACCACAGTTCGTTTGGGGCTCACCTGTCGTTTAGCAAACACAATTTTTCTACCTGCACGTTTCGCACTATTTCTCCGAGGGGATAACTTACTTTTTATTAGTTTTGACACAGTATGTGCTTGCTTTTTTCGGACGCACTCGTCGTTTGCGGACTTCGCTGTGTTTTTTGTTTTTTTTTTCGCACTTTTTTGTCTGCTTTATTTTTATGCTTATCTGCTCAGATTCTAGGGGTGGATATGCACTTTGTAGCACCTTAACTGTCTGCACGGTTGTTGTTTTATTTTTCTCTTTTCTCGCTAGGCACACTCCACTAAATTTTTTTTTCACATACACACACTCTTTATTTCTTATATATTTTTTCTTAGGTTTCTTATTTTATTTTCTTGTTTTCTCGTTTATTTTTGGTAAGACTGCGCATTAAAGTCTCTTGGCTTATATTTGCTTTTCGCCAATTTAGTTTCGGCTTTGTTTTGCTGCCACTAAAACTACCAAGCCACCGCACCGCGTCTCTAACTCACTTGCCGCGCCTACCGTGTGCTCAGTAACTGGGTGGCTGGTTGGCTGACTGACTGACTGGATTGCAGTGCTTTTGGATCGTTCGACAACTGCCGCCTGCCTGCCTACCTGCCTACCTTCCTGCCGTGCTGCCTGGCTGGTCGGCTATTTTTAGCTTTATGTTTTATATTTTATTTTGCTCTGTTTTGTTTGCGTTACGTGTCTGTCCCTGGGGATTGCGAGGGGGTAGGATAGCAGCGCACAAGCGTTTTATATGTTTGGTTTCGTTTGTATGTGTTTTCAGTGAGGACCTTCGTTCACCTGTCGCCAGCAAAAGTTTTCTCTCCACCACCGTACTCTATTAGCTCCGGCTGCTCCTTCTTCTACCCAATCTCGCTTTATGGTCTGCTTTGCTTCGTCCTTTCTTTGTGTTTATCTTCGACTGGTTAGGCGTTCGCACTGTAGGTTGCAGGCAAATGTTTCTGCTCTCCTGCACACTCACTGCTTGGCTGTTGGCTGTCTGTTTATTCGGCGACCGGCCTGTCGGTCTGTCTGCTGTCGCTGTATGAATGTTTGCCAAGCGCCTAGATATGCTGCTGGTTGTGCAATGCTTGAGACTCGAGTCGAGTACGTAGAAGACTGGCTTGCGCCTAGTCTCTGGTTCTGGTCGTTCTCTACTGTGTGCACGTTACCGCTAGTTGTTGTGAAGTGTCGTATTCACTTTTAGCTTAACTTGCTTCCTTTTTTCGTGTTTTTTTTTCTGAATTATACTTTTTATACTACTTTGCTGTTTTGTTACTTTTACACTTTGTTTTTGTTGCGCACTTATCAGCTGCAAAATGATTTGCTCCCTGGAACTTCCTGTTTATGATTGCAGCACAGAATGGCAAGTTTTTCGTTTTAGTTTTCTTTGTTTTTAATATTTTTCCTTGGCTTTCGCAACGACGGAAAATTATGCCTGAATCTCTGTCGTTTAGTTTGGAGTTTGAGTGGAGCTCTGCTGGAGTTTATTTTGCTTTTTTACTTGTTTTGCATAATTTTCTTATCACCTTTAGTTAGAATGTTTGTATCCAATGCTCTTCAGCAAGCACTCAAAGGATCTGTGAATTCAGGCTTCATTAAAAAAACATAAGAATATAATTAAAATTTTTTTCGTAAATATATTTCAGAGATTTTAATTAATTTTCCGGAGATTTTCGCGAGGCTGGTGGTTTTCTTAGTGTAATGAAAGCTCATTTTATTTTTTAACATTCATTGATTGACACAAAAATTGTTGAGAATAGTTTTCAGCAGCGTCTTTTATTAAATAAAGTTAAGAATATTAATAAAATCAGCAACATTTCTTGAATAATCTTGAATTTCCAAGCCAGTGCACTCTGGGAAATTTGAAAAATTTTTTGGCAAATATTGATTATGGCTAAACAAGTATGATTTCTGACATTTTTGCAAAAAAAAAAATCTTAACCCTTGACGGCCGAGTTGTCTAAAGTAGTCACTTTTTAATTCGTGGTTTATTAAAAAAGTTGAAATGTAGTTTTTTCTTAAATATTTGTATTAACAAATGTCCCTTAAAAATGCTTTATTTTGCAAAAAAAAATCCTTTGTTTTTATGTTTATGGCATATGGTTTTTTATATATTTTTCCGTAAAAACATTGTGACAGAATAGAGCCGATATTTAAATAAAAAATTTCATTTAGTTATGAAAACGCGTTCTAAAGTGATTCTTTTTAGAAAATTTTGCCAAATTATATAAATTTCAATTGACTGAGAGGTCTGAATTTCCTAATTTGTTTGCTGGAAAATTAAAACGAGCAGCCTCTGCAGCAACAAAATTATTCACAGCCTGCTCTCTCCTGAGTTCTGATCAAATTACCTATAGTGCAGCGGTGTGAAATTACAACTGTGTGAGTTTAATAATTGCATAGTTCAAGGCGCTAAACTGCAAAGAAATACAATTCTAAGGCGTCAAGAAAATAACTTTTGTCAGCCTAAGAGTATGCTGCATAACTAATTGTTCGAGAAATTTATTCTTTCAATCCATGAATGAATGACTTACGTGATATTTGCAGTGGAATTCTGACAATCGCTACGATATATTTTCGGGGCCAAAATTCTCTAAATAAAAGCATTTGGGCCTAAAAATATACACCATGGAACTGTAACAGATGCAGTACGTAATCAGCCAAATTTTTGGCGATCAAAACTAGCGATAGCAAATGTTGGAATGCGGCTGCTGATAAACCTGTAAGATAGCTATCTCACTAAAGTAGACATTCTGGTTGTTTAAATTTATCCTGGTTTTTGAAAAATTTTCCAGTCGCCCTGATGACACTTAAATTGTCCTGGTTTTTTAACGAAGGTTAGTGCAGATACCCATTCATCAAATTTTTGTTATGACAAATAGATTAAGCTTCTGTTTTTGGCGAAGAGTCACGAATGTCAGGAGTAACAAACTCCTCAAATGTCGACATCCCAAACTATTCAACTACAGAACCGAATTCATCAGCTAATTTATGTATTTATGTTAGTCAATCATTGAGAAAGTATAGTATCGCTTTCTTAATGCTGAAACCCGAATCAAATATATCAAATGTGCTGGAATGAGAGTTAAAATCAACGGAGCATAAGCAACGGAGTTGCTCGTGTAATTCAAAATTAGTTTTACAAGTTTTCAAAAATAGGGGAGAAAAGTGTCTTGATACCCGAGAGGTAACATTAAGGCTAACTTCACCCAGAAGAAGCGGACTTGAAATTGAGTCTGTCAGTAATTTAACCATGAAAATTGTACGAAGCATTTTTCTGCGGCTGCAAGTGTGGAAAAATAAATAAGTTTTGATAATCGGCTCGTATAAGGCGGAAGGTTATATTGATATTGCAAATGCAGTATGAAATGCTAGAGGAGATAGAATGCGCCAACGGATTTGTAATAATTGATTCAAAAAATTTTGGGACTGCAGAATGCTTAGCTAAATATGCCCCGTTAGTTCTCCACTGATGATCTGCTACCGCTTGTATGTAACGAGGTTATGAACGATTCCTTCCATACCGTTGGAGAAACGCCCTCTCTGAGAGACAAATTAAATAAGGCTGTTAAAGGAATATAGAGATAATCAGCACAATTTGTAAGAAAAGAAGTGGGGATCTGGTCAGGACCATAACGAAAGGACTGCTTTAAGGATTTCAGATAACCTACTATATCATCAAGAGATATTACTGGGATATATATTGAGTTAATTGGACATAGTTTAAAAGGATAGTCAATGTTAGCATGAAAGTTAATGAAATAATTGGATTTAAAAAACTGAGCGAACATGTTGGAAATTATTTTATTATCACTAGAGATGGCATATTTTGATACCTCATGGCGGACGAAAGCCACTGCATTTCGCTTGGAGTTTACGAAATCATAAAACGATTTGGGGTTATATATTATACGCTGTTTGACTTTACACAAATAAGCTTTGTAACAATTGTTGTTTAATTCAAAGAACCTATGACGCAAAATTGAGTATTTTACATAGTATGAGTGTAAACCCGTTTTTTTGTTTCTGTTTTGTCTTGAGCGGACTTCAGTCAAAAGCCTTGCCAGAACATTGCGATACTCATGGCCAATCAAGCGACTAGTAAGGCTCGAAATGCCTTAAAAAACCGTTGGCCCGATCAGTCGCTCATTTGCAATAGACTCGCACATATTTATTACATCTGAGAAATATTTTTATCAACAAAGAAGAGGAAGAAAAAATTGAAAAATATGAAGCAGACTTGACATATTATATACTAATTAAAGCATACTAATACAAATTTTCTAATCCGATTGTCATGCCTAACCAGCTACAGAAATATTTTACATCTTTTACTCCTTACTTACGATTGAAAGCCTTCGTCGAGCTACTGGTTGAGTTTCCGCTCTATAATACACGCGAGTGGAAAAGGAAGGACTCTCCTGCAGGAGGTATTGGCATATCCATTTGGCAGCACTTAGCACATAGCAGCTACAACACCGCAAAGAAGAAGTTTTCTGTTCTAAAACGAGATTTCTACACCAGTTATGGGCAAGCATTAGGCTAAAATAAATGCTGGGTAATGGATACATTACATTTCTCAGGAGTATTTGAGCATGAAAAAGCTATCTGCGCTATGGATGGCGTGATTGCTCTCAAGTAAAGAAGTGTTTGCCAAATCGTACTAATTTTCGCCCCGTAGAAGAAAAAATAAACCAGATGTGGAGGAGCAGTGAAAGCAGTGGTCTTCTTCGCGTAAACCTGCTCCACACAAGATCAAGGAGGGTCTCTCTGCCAACAAAGTCAAAGCGACAGTTTTTTAGGATGCGCGCGAAGTGATTTACATAGATTAATTATTTACTTAAAAAAAGGGGGCAAAGCAACGAATATTACTAAGAGCTATTAGGAAGGCTCGACATTGATTCGATACAAAAAAACACCGTATTTCCTACATATTCGCCACATTCAATCAAATGAAGCTATTTCTTGCCTATAAACCTCAAAAAGTGGCTCAGCGGTAAAAAAAAACTTGCGACAAATGAAGTCATCAAGGAAACAAACACTCTATTTTAAGGACCATATACCAACCTTTCTTTCGGAGAGGATAAGCAAATTAGAAAAACGCAACACTCAATGTATCGAGCTAAAAGATGACTAGGAAACAGAGCAAGGGTGCTGCAGATCTTTGACGGCAATTATTTGTAATATGTTACCGATTCTTTTCAGACAATGTTACTACAGGCGTTGACAAACTTTAACGCTGTTACGCTGAACACACACTTTTTATACCCGAGCGCACTTGTGCACAAGGGTATTATAACTTTTTTCACATAACGGTTGTTTGTAACAGGCAAAACGAATCGAGATAGATATAGACAAATGTATACATAAATGATCAGAATGAAAAGAGAAATCGATTAAGCGGTGACTGTCTGTCCGTCCGTCCGTCCGTCTGTGCACACGATAACTCGAGTAAAAATTGAGATATCTTAACGAAACTTTGTACGTGAACTTCTTTTGGGCGTAGGACGGATGGTATTGAAAATGGGCGAAATCGGACAATAACCACGCCTACCTCCCATATAACGGTAATTTTAAGAAATACGAAAACTGCGATATTTTAGTAACTATTGAAGATAATTCACTCAAAATTGATACTTACAATGAGTTTCAGACGGAAAACATGAATTTTATAAATTTTTGGAAAATGGGCGTAGCGACGCCCACTTATGGTTACATGTGTATAGCTTGGTAACACCAATTTCTTCCAAACTTGGCACAGTTGTTGGCCTTAGTACAGCATTCTAAATGGCTGAAAATTTTAAAAATCGGACAATAACCACGCCCACATCCCATATAACGGTAATTTCGAGAAATACAAAATCTTCGATAAATCAGTAAATATTGAAGCTAATTTATTCAAAATTGATGGTTGCAACAACTCTTTACCAAGAAATACGTTTATGACAAAATTTTTGAAAATGGGCGTAGCACCGCCCACTTGTGATCACATATATGTATCTCGCTAACCGTTATAGCAAGCTCGGTATGGTTATTGTGCTTGCCACATAAAAGCAAACCGTTGAAAATTGTTGAAATCGGACTAAAGTTGAGGCCGCTTTTCATATAACGGTAAATTTGAGAAATGCTTGAAATTTCAATATTTCGAAATTTAAGGACGCTAATTTACTTAAAATGTATACACCCCGGCTTATCATGTAGCGGTAGGTTACGGAAAGGTGAAGTATATTTAATACTTGCGCCGGGTATTTAATGTTCGGCTCCGCCCGAACTTAGACTTTCTTACTTGTTATTGCCTGAACTAATGACTGAACTTGGACAATATGTGCTTTCCACAGGATGATGCTACTTGCTAAACAGCGCATGAAAAAGTTACCATATTGCGAAAATCGGCGGTAGACATTACTGCGAGTTTTTTCATCTAGTAGGAATGCAGCGGTAAATTGAGGATAACATTTGTTAGTTGGTATTGTTTGATTCTTCCGAAAAGCTGAGACGATGATGTACTCGCGTTTCGGTACAAATTTCCTGTATATCTTCTCAAATGTGGCTTGGAAGCAAACCGATTTCAGCGTTACGCCATTTTCAGCAGCAACCCTATAAATGATTTGTTGGTTATTCTCATATATGTAATACTTCTATATTGGCAGTAAGCTAACTTCTCAATGTGTAAGCATTCCGAAATCAAAGCGAGACAGTCTAGTACCGTTTTTGTCAATGTATTGTGTACTTGAGTGCCGTTTTGTATATGTGTTGTGTACATGCTTATTTATAAACGTATGTGTTCCTTTTCTTCCGTACGTGTTTATTGATATATCTGTACTGTAGTGTTTTCGGACGGTACTAGCTCTTACTGCCAATATAGGAGTATTACATATATGGTTATTCTCAATGTAATACCCTAAGGAACTTTGGGCAGGGCGGCAAGAAATCTATGCATATAATAAAATTGTAACAGGCCGATTTCTGTACATTATAAATATTAAAGAGAAATTAATGTGGCGGATTTTTATTAGAGCAACAGAAGACACATCAAAAATTTTTAGAATTTTCGTCTGTCTACATGGCTAGAATTTTAGCTTAAAATATAGAAAGAAAACCGTTAGAGAGCTGCCACCTGTTTGAAAATTGTAGTTTAAGTAAAATGATAAGATAATGTTAATATTGCGATATGGCTGTCAAACGAGGGACGTTTAAAAAGGCTTACGGCCGCAAATGTTTTTTTTTTGAAGGTTTGTAAATTTTAATTCAATTTAATTGATAAGATAAATTTAATATTGCAATATGGGTTTCAAACCGGCACAAAAACACTTTTAAGGCGCAGTGAAGCACGCCGGGTATTTGCTAGTATGAGAATAATTGTCTTTACCATTATTTATAATTTGTACAGAAAAATTAGAATCTGAAAATATTATTTTTCATAAAAAATTTTACAATTTCTTTTTCAAGATTTTCGAAAAATTTTCAGTTTAGGCGTTTGCTCATAACACTTTTTTCTGAGCTTACTTTTATGTAAAAACTGACTAAAAATAAATTTCTCAGAAATCGGCAAAAATTTTTGTTTTATTCCATTGAAAAGATGTCACTAGCTCCCAATGTGCAATACTCAAGTAGTTGAAAGCATTTTTTTCCAACTCTTTTGTGTTTACTGTTAAACACGCTTAAATATTTATTGAATTCAAGCTTATGGCTCTTTAAATGGAATATAACAAAAATGCCAAAAGCGAGGTAGGCAAACTTGAAACGACTTGACGGTACGGAGGTATCTACGCACTTCCCCTCTCTCCTCACCTTTTTCACCTACTAACGATAAAACCTGAAAGCAAGAGTTGAACCATGTAAAAGCAGACTTAGCGTCCAAGAGTGAGACCAAGAGTGTAACACGTTCCAGTATAGCATGCTTAGGCGACTTACAGCCAGGGCTGCCGACTATCCTCACCTATGAGGTGCCATATTGGAGATAAAAAAGTGCCAAAATATGCCTAATTGAAAAATTAAGTGTAAAATAGGGCCAAAAATGGCACGGTTTGAGCCAAGGTGGCAGCCCTTCTTACAGCACCGCGTGCCTTAAGGTATGCTAAGAACCACAATCAATTGGTATCAAACCGGAAGCAAATCACATATACATACACACACACACACACATGTGTCAAATACGCTGCATATAAAGTGAAATTTTGTGGACTTCTCAAATATCAAATTGCCGAACTTCTTGAAGTAAGCAAATTAAAGTATGCACCACTAGCTTGGTGCATCAGCCAAACACTTTGCACGTCTTTTAACCCAGCAGAGGTTGTAAATGAGGGTTACGATTTGTCACAACCGCCTAACTAACAATTTTCAACTTACATAAATATTTTTGTGTGTACATACATGTGTACATCCGTTCATGCTGCTCTTCCCAATCGCTAAGTTAATAATGGCATAAGTTTATTTAACAAAGAAAATTTTTTGGAAAATTTGTTTCTTTAAGAAATAAAATAAAATAAATACACTTAGCTAAATGTATGTAATGCCTGTGTTCCTTTTGCAATAATTTATACGCCCTTAATTATCAAAAAAAAATTTAATTTTTCCAACAAATTTTAAATGCATATTATTTAAAATTATTATTATTCTGCGCTTGCTGAGAACTATTTTCATCGGCATTTATATCGTAGGTTTTATTGCACAAATCACTGCTGCTTAAGTATTTTAATTTTCACAAAACAAAAATTGTATATAAATTCGAGTTCATTTGTATGATTTCTTATGCAGTTTAAGTTTTAAGTGCACAATTTAAAACTGTAAGCATTTATAATATATTTCTGCTGAAAATAAGTTTTGTTTTCTTTCATGCTTTTCGTCTTTTTTAAACAATAAACTTTTTTAATTTGATTTTTTAATTTTTATATTTTTTTTTAATTTTCCTTAATATTTAATTTAAGGTTTTTCAATTTTTAAACAATTTTCAAATTTCATTAAAATTTTTTTTTCTGCGCCACACAATGTATTATTTTTATTATTTAAATATTTATATACAAAAAAAATATTAATTTTTGCTCGCAATTAGAAAACTATGAAAATTGCACTTGCAAACGCTTACACTGTGAATTTTTTTTTAACTGTTTGCAAAAGAACTGTTAAAGGTTTTAAAATTCATTGAAATGTTTGCCATTTTTAAGCTTTAATTTTTTACTAAATTTTATGCTTTAAGTTTAAATTTATTTACTGCTTATTGGTTTTTGCTTTTGTTTTTGTTTTCATCTATTTTATTTCATTCGCCAATTCCTTGCGCTTGCACTTTCAATCGCGTACTGACTGCCTTCCCTGCTGCACAAACACTTTTATATATCACGAAACCAATTGCTTCGGTGCGACTCGGCGGGGCTATGTGTTTTTGCAATTTTATTTTGACTGGTTCATTTTCTTATTATTTTTTTTTCTAAAAATTCTATGGGAATCGGAATTTCAAATTTTCAAAATTTAACGCACATTTATTTTTGAAATTAGCACCTTAGAATTTTAGGAAAATTTCCCATAATTTTCCATTTTTTTGCACTTCGCACACTGGCACTGGTCACCAGCTATGTAGTTGGTGTATCCTTGCTTGCAGCGTCACTTGTTTTCGTCACAGTTACACTACACAAGAGACTAGGTAGTGTGTGCAAAGCAATATATACATACGTACATACATAAGTTTTCGAAATTCATTGACAACAATTTTTTTTTTTCACTAACTAACCCACAGTCCATATTACCTTAGCGCATAACACTTTCGCTGCTCTTTTGCTTTTTTTTTACTTTCAGTTTTTATTATTCACTTTTTTTAATAAATTTACTTTTTCCTGCTATTTTTTTATTGCTATCTATTTTTTTGCACTGAGTTTAGTTGGAAAAAGACACACAAGTTTGAATTGTCCTTCTTAACTTTAGCAGCGACGAGCGAGGACTCGACTTGCGTTCTTAGCAGGAATCGCCTGTTTGTCTACTAAACGCATCTCCGAAACGCTGGCTGCGCTAAGGTTGGCCCGTTGGCTCATTGACTGGCTGTTTGTGTATTAGCGGCGGCCGTTATCCGCTGTGCCTTCACTGGTTGTGCCTGTATACACGACACTTCGTATCGTCATTATCATCGAAGTCGTTGTCGTTGTCGTTGTCTAAGTCGTGCCACCAAAAAGTATGCAGCGTTTTTCTTCTTTTTTTTGCTGACGAATATAGCTCGGCGGTGTCGCGCGTCGTTGTTTCGTTCCGCGCAACAATTGCTTTTGCAGCTGCTGCTGCTGCTACTTCCGTAATTGTTGTTGTCGTCGGCGCTGTTTGCGCTTTTGTCGCCTACTGCCGCTTTATTGTTGCGCCACTTTGTATTGGCATGTTTTTATGTTTCATTGCCACTGCGTTCCACTCTCTAGTGTCCCTACTACTCCCGACAATTCGCACCGAAAACTTTAGCTTTTTTCGGCTCCAAACACTCACTTTCTCACTACTTACTCGTATTAAATATGTGTACCGTCTCACTTATACGATTTGCTGTTCGCCAACTGCTTTCACCGTCTTTGTTGCTTCTAATTGCTCTCCGTACTGGTGTGCACTACCGCTGTTGCTAACTTATTTGATTTAACCGTCCGCTACTACTCGCGTGTTGCACACTCGAACGCTTCGTTAACGTTTGTTTGCTGGCTGCTCGCAAGTCGCTCACCGAGCCCTACGTCAACCACTTGTTTTGTATGCGCTCGTACGTCCGTCTGCCCGGTTGCCCGGCTTTTTGCACAATCCCGGCGTCTTTGCCAACTCTCGCCACCAACTGGGGGGTTTTTGGAGCATGTGGAGAATATTTGTGTAGAGTTTCTTTTACTCGAAAAAAATGTCACCTATCTAGGGCCTACCTGCCACAGCTACAGCGGAACGATTCAACGTCGGCCCTAAACCTCAGCGTCATAGCCGTCATCAGTCATTCAGCTGTTGGTTCATTCGTTGATATCGGTTGCTCGTTCGTGCGCCGGTTGAAAGGCATAACAAGTGGGTATGGCAGGCAATAAACAACAACAGTAGCAGCAACAACTCTAAGTGACAACAACTTACCCACAGTCTAGCTGTGAATTAGGAACACTACCATCCCAACTCTGGCGCTTTTCGGCAGCCAGCAGGCACAGCTTCGCGCATACATATGTATGTACTTATTAGCGTGTGGGTGTAGTGTGAAGCGCACTAAGTAAGATGTGACTCAGAGAGTGCAGAGAAATGTTGCTTTTCTGGGCAAGCTTTATGTTTATTCTCTATCACGTCAATTCCACTTTGCCACCTGACACTGTGCGCCAAAACGAATTGAAGCTTACTGTAGAAGCGTCTGTTTGTCTGCGATGGATATAAAGGCGTATACGATTGTAAAAGTGATACACAGAAATACGAATACATCTCATCAGCTGAGCAGGTAAGCCGCAAGGGTGAGGAGACATGGATAAAATGTGGATCATTGGGAGTGTTCTAGAGCACAGTACATGCGGAGAATAAATGCAGCTGAACTTAGAAGCTGTTGTAATGGCCGTCTATCTCCGGATCCTGTTGGCGATACGCGTAGGTCCGAAGGCCTGCTAGAGCGGTAGGTCATGAATAAATGTTTAGCTGAAAGGTCGAGAAATAAAGTGAATCCATTCAGATTCATGAGATTTTTTTTTTTAATGAAAAAAGCCAGATAAGATGTAGAACACTCTGGTAACTATGCCAGATAAAACTCCTTTCGATTAATTCGATTCTTCATTGCGCCGAACCTTACACACACCTACTAAATTAACGGCGACGCTTTTCAGTAATTGGACAAGGTAAGGTGAAGCAGCAGTTAGGAAGCCACGTCGAAAACTTTAGAGGTTGCTTTTAATAGCTTTCCCTCCTTCCCCGAGCACGAAGCGCCATTGTCAATAATAAAAAACAAAGCCGGTTGCACTCGGTGCAAAGTCAAAGCAACTTTTTAGGCTGAAAACAATGTCATTAGCCGATCAGTTCTAAGACATTCTGCACCTGTATGTCGCCGCTGACCCGTATGGCGTTGTGAATGAAACTTCAAACTTATCAGCACATTTCTCTCTGGACAGAATGATATACTTTCTGGTATCGTCTGTATATGATCTACAGTCACCATCTTTCCAAACTCTCACCCCGTGTTTGCCGTTGTCGTAGTTCAACCACCACCCAGCGCAGACAAAGCACTTCAACTGCCTTCCGAGACGCGCGTAACGTTGGCAGAACTTTAGCAGACTTAACTCCTATCTATATATCCAGACTCAACCGCAACTTACCAATTGGAATGGAATAGAATTTTGGTTGGCCGAAAAACCCAAAGAACAATTTTACTAGGCACTCAGGCAGTATTGTATCAGAGGCCAAAGAGACAGGATTTAGAGGGAAAACATAGGTGGGGTGAGAACTCATTGCTCCTCTGCAAGCTTACCAGACTTCTTTATAAACCTTAGCTGTTTTTTTTGAGGAGAAAAGAATGTTTTTCGTCCATTCTTTCATACATCCGACAAAAAAATATACCACTTGAATCTGGCAAAAGCCGGACGGCGGCAGAGAAAATGTCCTTTACTATCTTCATCTTCTAAATAAGATGTACTTAGTGGATCGTCGATGATGCCATGTCATCCACATGCATTGGTCTTAGTTATGAGTCCTATAAGAGCTCGTAGATCATTCCCCCTTTGGCTTATGTCAATACCACGCCAACGTCTCCAGAGCCGTGATTTTGACTCCGACCTTGTCCCAAAGCTTTCTTCATTCAATTTTCCTTCAGCTCGCGTGAGTGAGAGTTTTCCATGTCAGCTGCATTTCTAGAATTACCCCTAGATATTTCTCATCCACGGAAATACCTTGGTTTACCGCTCTAAGCACTGTAGGTTGATTCCTTCCAATTTTCTTTTCCGCGTGGACTAGACTAGGGTTGTCTTGCCGGGATTGATAGTAAGACCATGGAGAGTTAACCATTCATCTATCTTATTCACGATTCTATGTGTCTTAAAACAGCCCTCCTTTAGAGACTTACCTTATGACAGGGCAAAACATCAACCGCGTAAGTCTGGATGGGAATGAAGTCTTGCACTTCCGTTAGCAGGGAGTCCGCTACAAAACACCACAAGAGAGGTGAGAGCACCCTGAGGGCATCCTCTTCCAACCATGGTACAAAGTATAGGTTCATCCCCCAAAGTCAGCAATCTTTTAAATAAAATAAAGTGAATAATCCATGCTTTCTGGCCACAGAGCACATAGAGTCAAAGGTATCGTGGTCAAACGTCTCTTCAATATCAGCAAAGACTCCCATTGGATACTCACCAGCTTCCAGCCCCACCTAAGTCTTTGTTACAAGGTAACAAGGTAGAGTTAAACCAGAGGGGTTTCCAGACAGTCCCTAAAAACTCTTAGAAGAGCCCCCATAAGCCCTTTTAAATAAAACCTTAATGACTCCTCAGTCTCCACCTGCGATGCAATGTTCCAGTTTAGTCTGGTGGCTCTTCCCGTCATGTGTACCTGAAACTAACAGTACGGACATGACATGTCCGGCTTGTAAAGGTAGTTCATATGGCACCAACCCCGTTTACTTGATCCCTTGATCTCACTAAGCTAACAAAGCTCTCCATTCGGTGCGACTCCGTCGAATCGGTATGAGTTTGGCGACAGCGTCTGACAGCGTTTAGTAGTGCCACTACAACAACAGCAATGATTAACTATTCGAAATAGCTTTCAATGGAGGGTAAATAAATCCTACAGAAGAGGTAACAAGGAAGGAACTCATGTAAGCAATTGCAAAGCAGATAAAATTCTTTTTGACCAATCCAGTGCATACAGAGCGCTAAGACCATTAAGATTGAAGTTAAAGCAAGATCTTTTCGACACGGTGGGCAGGAAGCGAAGATAGGTTGCATAAAAATGTCGACAAAATCTGAAAGCAGGGTTGTATTTGTTGATATCTTAAGGTTAAGAATCCGCTTAAATTGAAATCCTAGCTGCTCCTGTTTTAAAGATATCCACATTTTATATACTTCTGATAGGATATACATATTTGCAAAAGAGGAAGGCGTACTTCTCGATAATTAGAGCATATTTATACGAAAAGAAATCTCATACAAATCTGTTCCCCTTTTTTAACTCACTAAAACGGAACAAATCAATGTGAAACATTTTCAGTTTTTCCTACCGAAAGAATAATTGATCGAGATTTATTGGGCGCTACCGGTATACAACTTAGATAAAACACCACAATTACCTTTTTCTGTAGCGTGAACTCTCTCATTAGAAACACTTTCAATATCGCAATGTATGTATGTATGTATACAATATTGTATGCTATATAATACGGTAGTAATTTTTTATTAAAGGTTTGTTGCTATAAGCAAGTAGCGCAGGCAAGTCGCACTGCGCTTGTGCAAGAAATAAAAATG